TATAGGCGTGTACTTGCTTTCATGTATGTGGTGTATGTATGTATAGGCGTGTGCTTTGGGATGCGAGGGTGCATGTCCATGTGTGTATGTGTACACCTGCATGCGGGGGCCAAGGCTGAGTTTGGGTGTCTTGCTTAATTGCTCTTCACCTTGTTATTTGGGGGGGATATCTCTCACTGAATTGGAACTTTATTGATTGCCTAGACTGACAGGGATCCTTCTGCAACAAGCCCCAGGGATCCTTCTGTCTTTGTCTCCCATGTACTAGAGTTATAGAAGTGTGTAGGGATATAGAAGCCTCTCTGCTTGGCTTTTGCATGGGTACTAGGAATGGAACTGAGATCCCCCAGTTTGTGTGATAGACACACTATCTACACAGTGATGTGCTAAATTGTGTCTTCATGCTCATTTTTGGATCTGCTTCTATGGAGATATTTCTGAGGGGGAGATGATAATGGGAAATGGCTTCTAACCAATATGTCCATGGTAAAGTTAGATCCCCTTGTTTTCATGGTTTGTACATACACACACACATACACACACACACACACAGACATACAAACATACAGGCACACACACAGACACACACACATGCATACATACATACATACATACATACACAGAGACCTACAGACATACAGATACACAAACACACAGGTACATACACAGGCACATACACACACAGACACACAGACATACACACATAGACACATACAGGCACACAGACATACACACACATAGACACAGACACACAGACATACACACAGACACACAGACATACACACACATAGACATAGACACACATACATACATACACACACACACACACACACACACACCCCACCCTTTCCTGTTTGTGATTAAATAGATAATTCTGTTTGAGTTCTACAATGTGTCAGAAGCAATTAAGAAGAACAAAAGTGCCTTTCAAAACAACCAGGCGTAAAAGCCTTAACCACAGCCTGACTGACTGCTGGGGGCTCTTTTTATTTACTGTGCTATTATCAGTGAAATATTCAAAATTTACAGATTCTTTTGAGGATGTGCCTGTGACACACTTTGTTGTCAGAAATTTTGTTTCTGTCCTCAGCTTGGGGTAGAGCAATTCTGAATTCTCTTCTCCACAAAGCACAACTTCCTTGGTTATCAGGACAGCAGGCTGCACCTGGGCCTCCAGTTGCTTATCTTAAAAGTCCACACTCAGCTGTTATAGGAGTGGACTATGCGTCAAGCCGCTGTACTTGTGCTAAAATAGAATTTTCCTGTATTGCTATAGATGAATAAAGCAGGAATATTCTAAAAAGTACTAAACTTACATTTCCTACATGCTTGGAAAAACATCACTTGACTTGATAAAAAACAAGAATGTCAAAGATTAACTGATGTGCAAGGGACCTGAAGTCTTTGAGACACTGCCTGATTCCTGTCCTTGGAGAACTCAGGGATCCTAAGAGGGCCATTTTATACCAAGTCTGGTGCTGACAGCCTCACGTTCCTGCAAGTGTGAGGTTGGCGCTTTTACATCATGGTCTGTTGCAAGTTACATTCTTTTTTTGGGATGAACTGACACAGGTCAACATTCCTGGAGGTTTCAAGTTCTAGGAAACACTGGGGTTGATGGAGGGAACTGAGGGGTTGGGGTGGGGTTGTTCTCAAGGAGTAAAAGAGAGATGTCTTGGTGCAGAGGATACTAGGTGCCAGGGGTTGTGTCCATTTCTCTTCAGTTCTTTTCCTCAGGACAGTGAGCCTATGTGGCTTTTCTAGGAGCTGTATGCCTCTGCCTCCCAGGAAGTGACTGGCCCAGTGCTTGCAGCTCACCAGTGGGTGAACATGACGGACGTGAGCGTCCCGCTCAATGCCACACACACAGTGAGTATGACAGAAGCCCCTGACTTTGCCCCATGGGCCAAGCACAGCACACTGTTGCTCACAGCTGAACTTGTGTCTCTTTCTTTGTTTTTGTTCGATGATCTTTCCTTCAGGTGAAGACGTGTAAACCTGCCCTGGGTTACAGTTTTGCCGCAGGCACAATTGATGGAGTTTCGGGCCTCAATATTACACAGGGTGAGAGAAAGGAGGATGGCATGTGTGCTTCCAGGTTTCGGGGGCTTCAGGCTTCTGTTTCCTAAGGAAGCTGAACTGTGGCCAGTGTGTTTATGACCCCCATCTCTAACTCAGGCAGCTCCAGGCTAGCTGAGTTTTGGTGTGACATCTCAGATTGCCCAGGGATAAGTGTCTTTTGTCCCTCAGCTTTGTTAATTCAAATACAACCAGAAACAGATTCTCTTAGCATTTTAGTATATTGATGAACCTTGGTAATTCATTTAGTGTGTGTGTATATATGTGTGTGAGTGCATGCACACATATATGTAGGGAAGTGCCTTTCACTCAATGTTAGAGAGTGGCTCTCTCACTGGCTTGGAAATTGCCTGAAGGCCAGGATTAGGTAGCCCTTCAGCTTCTTGGGATCTTCCTATTTCTACCCCCCATTTCACCATTGCTGAGATTACTGGTGTGTTCTAGCACACCTGCATTTTTATGTGTGTTTTGGGGGATCTGAACTCAGATTCTCACACTTTAGAGGCAAGCACTTTCCTCACTGAGCCATCACCCTGCCCCCAGGGAGCAGCTTTTTACTTTTTAGGAGCTATGATTTCTTTGTGATGGCGGCATGCAAAGAGTATAAGGAAGGAAGTGAAAGCACAATCCTGATGAGAGACGGTGTTTTCAAATAATATGTCTGATAAGGGAATTGTACATAAAATGTATTTTAGAAAACCTCTTGAAACTCAATAATAGCAGTTATTTATTGGGAAATAATTGACAAGCCATATAAGTCAGCTATTTAAAGTATATTTGGTGGATTTTAATATTTTGACAGACATACAACTTTCCCAAAGTCAACATTGGAGCTTCCATCACTCCAACAGAATCTCTGACCATGCTAGCTGCCACATCTCCTCTGCCTCCGTATAAGCACCAGCAAACCTCCCATCCTTACACATCCTTACATTTTGCTACCTTAGACATTTCAAATGCTGAGAATACACAATATCTGCATTTTTTGTTCCATCTTTTATGTAGCATTCTGCTTTAAGGTACATGGAGGTATAGAATGTGGAAGTGTTTGTTTCATTCCCTTTTAATGGCTGAATTAATTCATGGTATCCATATACCAGATGTTATTTGCCCATTGCTTAATTGATGGATGTTTGGGTTATTCTATTTTTTTGTATGTTACAAATAATGCTGCCCTAAGTACGTATGCACAAAAGTTTGTGTGGGTTTGTATGTTTGCAGTCTTCCTCTTAGGCGTGTATATAGAGGGATGCTTGCAGGTCACATGCTAACTATGTTGTAACATCTGAGACCCTATCACATGAGCTCCCAAATGGCTGCATTGCTTTATACCTGTGTCAGTAATGTATCCATTAAAAAAGTCCATGTCTTCGCCAACATATATTATTTGGCATGCTGATTCTAGCCAGCATGCATGTGGAATGCTGTCTCCTTGTGGTTTTGATTTGCATCACCAACATAATGTCAAATGTCTTTTCATGTGATTATTGGCCATTATCTATATTTTGGGGGCAGCTATTTATCCGTATGCTTTTCTTTAAATTTGGGTTTTTGACTGTAATTATTAGGTTATGAGGCTTTCTAAAATATATTTTTGTATATAAATCCATCATCAGATAAATTATTTGAAAATCTTTCCCTCATTTGATAGGTTGTCTTTGCAATTTCTTGATTATTTTCTTTGAGACACAAACATCTCAATCAGTTTCCTTTTTGTTGCTTGCCATCACACTAAAGAGTCATTCACCACCAGGAAGGCTTACACTGTAGTTCTAAAAGTTTTACTATTTACAAGCTGGACAGCAGATATTACATGTTGAAATTATCATTTTAAATTTTTAAAGTGGGTAAAAGGTGATGCAGTTCACAAACTTGTGTATTAAATTAAACTGTCTTTATGACATAAATTAAACAGTTAATATGAATACAGCTTTGAGAGTATCAGATAAAATGTATTGTTATTGTTTATTATTTTGTGACATACAGGGAACACTGCCCTTTCTGTTGCTCAAATTGTTGAAGCCATTGAATGACAACCTTAATAAAATATTTGAAATGTCTAAAATGGTTGTGTACCATACTGTCTAAATCATGACATCCTCAGAGGGCTAGTATAAGGTATCTTATTAATCATAACAATTCTAATAGGAACAACAGAAGGAGATCTATTTTGGGACACTATTCGGGACCAGCTCCTGGGAAAGCCATCTCAAGAAATCATAGAATGCCAGAAACCTAAACCAATCCTACTTCACACAGGCGAGGTAAGGCCTTTGATTGTCATAAGGAACATAGAATATTATACTTTGTAGTTTCTGAGCTTTCAGATAATAAATAGTTAATGTCCACTGACAGGGCAGATCTTATTTAGATATTCTTACATAATTTGTTATTTATTGTTATTATACATTTACCACTATTACCACTGGATATACGTATGTGTATGGGGGCATGTTTGTAGAGGTCAGAGGACACTTTTATAGAGTTGCTTCTCATTTTGCACTTGGATTTTGGGGACTGAACTCAGTTTTGTGTGGCTGGCACATTACCTGCAGAGCCTTCTCAGTCAACCACCTTCCATGAATATTTGATATTAAAAATTTAGATGCTGGATCCAACTTTAAAGAATTACTACTGTGAAGTCTACCGAGTTGTCTAATTATTAAGAAACATGGAAGGGAGTGGAATATAGAAAAGGAAGACTAACATTCGTGTTATTTTGGCTCTAGGAAGGCAGTCCGTGAAGAGTTCTTTGCATAAAAGTCATGTAGGTCATATAGGAACGTGCTTATGTGTCAATGCTCTCGTGTTAGGCAGCATGGTTTATTTGTTGATTTAGTTATGTATGTATGTATGTATGTATGTATGTATGTATGTATGTATGTATTTTTGTTTGTATGTGTGGGTGAGCAGGGACATGTGTGACCGGGTGTATATGGTGACCAGAGATGTTATTGGATATCTCAGATGTATTCTCTGACTACACACCTTATATTTTGAGACTCGCTCTCCCACTGGAACCTGCAGTTCACCAATTAGGCTAGACTGGCTGACCAGCAAACCCCAGGGATCTGTCTGTCTCTACCTCCCAGTGCTAAGATTACGTACATGCTGCCATGTCTGTCTTTCACAGGAGTGCTGTGCTGCAGATCCAACTCATCTTTGCTTATGTGGCAACATCATTAATTAAAACATATTTTTTTGTTTTGTTATATTTTTCTCGAGACAGGGTTTCTCTGTGTAGCTCTGGCTGTACTGGAACTTACTCTGTAGACCAGGCTGGCCTCAAACTCAGAGGTCCACCCACCTCTTTCTCCTGAGTTCTGGGATTAAAGGCGTATATCACATCCAAGCTGAAGCAATTTTCTTTTAGCACTACTTTAGAACATGATTCTTTTTGTTTTTACATTTACGATGTTAAGAACTCGTCCTACTATTGGTAGAAGCATGATTGTTGAAGTGTAAGCACTTAAAAAGTAGCCTTTCTCAGTATCCTGTTGAAATTCTTAGCGTAGGAGAAAGAAGGGAGGAAGGGATGGCGAGATAGTTTCTACTAACCACAATATGGAAAAGGATATATTCTCCTGAAGGAGGGTTGAAAGATGAAGCCAGACTCGCACTACTGGGGTAAAGAGAGAAATGATTGTATTGATCAATCCTAAATGGCATTCTATATTCATTGAGGAGACAGTCTCTTATAGTGCTCTGGCGGAACCCTGTTGAACCTTAATGATGAGTCTACTGAAGCTCACTTGGTAAGTTCAGGGTAAGATAGCATTGGGATTTACATGTTATAGCCAGCACATGAACATGCATGTGACGCAGTGTTACAGCAGAATTAGAAGTGAATCCTATGATATGGTCAAAACAAAACTAGCTTCAAACATTCAAAATTGTTTAATGAAGGAACTTATGTGACCATTGTTGATAGAAGGGATAATTTATACCTAATATAACTTTCTTGTTTTGGGGTCTCAGCTGACAAAACCTCATCCTTGGCACCCAGATATTGTTGATGTTCAGATTGTTACTCTTGGGTCACTGGCCATAGCTGCTATCCCTGGGGAATTTACGTAAGTTTTCCATTAAAAAAACTTTCATAGTAAAGAATATATTTCTGCTGGAATTACTTCTTTTTAAAATTGTTTACCTGTTTTTGTGTGTCTGCGGAGGGACTTGTGGTCCATGACATACTTGTGCAGGTCAGAGGATATGTTGACCAAGTCACTTCTCTTCATTAGCCAGATAGGTTCTGGAGTTGGAGCTCGGATCATCAAGCTTGGTGGCAAGCACCTTTGTCTACTGTGTCATCTCACTGGCCCTGGGATGAATTCTTAGGAGAAGATAATTCTCTGCTGACCTCTTGGTAGCCTCCTCTACTGTGTTTGGCAACAGTGACAAATAGTTTTTCTATATTTGGTGGAGCCTCTGTAGAGTAAATCTGCCTATGCTTGTGACCTATGAAAAGATGGGGGGGAAATGTGAAAAATCCACAAGCTTGGTATGCCAAAGGAAAAAGGGTCCAGTGGATTAAGGAAGTATGCAGACTTGAAATAATACTAAAACACTTGAAAGCATGACCTTAGATATTAGAAAGACAGAAGAATATTTTAAGCCTGTATCTTTTAGTCTTTCCTATCCCCATAAGGAAAAGTTTGTTGAACTAGCCCTTGAATTTTTTTCTTCTTTCAAGAATTCATCAAAATTCGTACATTCTGTACAACACATTCTATCATTCTCCATCACTGCTGTCATTCACACAGATTATTTCACTAACTTTCAATGTGGCTTCTTCATTGTTCCTCTGTTGTCCTTTTTCAACACAACACTCAACTGCGTTTCTTTAAAACATTGGTTCTCAACCTTCCTAATGCTGTGACCCTTTACCCTTTATTCTCACGTTGCGGTGATACCTACCATAAAATTATTTACTTTCCTACTTCATAACTGTTATTATGCTACTTTTATGAATCACAATGTAAATATTTTTGGAGATAGAGGGTTGCCAAGGGGGTTGGGACACACAGGTTAAGAACTGCTGCTTCAAAACATGAACTAAACATGCTACTTTGCTGTTTAAGACCATCCAGTCCTTTCCCATCTCATTCCAGGTAATCCCTCACTACCTTCCACTTCCTTTACAGTTCCATGCAGACTGTTGCTTAGCAAGTTCCCTCGTGTGATTTCCTTTGCTTTTCCTTCTTTCTCACCCTGCTTCAGTCATCCTGCATCATTGTCAAGGTTTTCTGTATAGAGAGGACTACAAGTGCACCTGCTCGATCCACTAAGCATGTTCTGGGCTTAGAGATTTTCAACTTATGGTTCTTTCTGTAAAAAACACATTCTCTCCAGCTGGCCTCAAGGCCAGGTCTTTTGATTTATGTAATACTTTGCTCAAATCTCAAATGGAGATGCTAACACTATTCATATCACATAAAAAGCATCACTCTCACATCAGTGCCAGTATTATCACCACCACTAATGCCGTCACTCCCACCATTCCACTTCATCCTTACTCTGCTTTATTAGTCTCTGTTTTTCTTGTCATCTCACATTTTCATTTATTTGGTGACCTTCTAGTTTTGGAATGTTGAGATTTTGTCTTTTACTGTCTATTCTAAGCTAAGTGTGGAGCCCCCTAAAACCTGGAGTCTGCACATAACCCCTAGGACTATGCCTCCAAGTTAATTCTGATTGGGGAATAAAGATTCCAACAGCCAAGAGCTGGGGAGAAGAGACATATGTGGGGTTTAGGTTTCCTGGGCTTGAGACCACGAGGAGAGGAGAGGAGAAAAGAGGAGGGGAGGGGAGTGGAGGGGAGTGGAGGGGAGTGGAAGGGAGGGGAGGGGAAGGGAGGGGAGAGTAGAGGAGAGGATAAACCACCATGAGATAGAAGAAGAATGTGCAGGAGAGGAGAAAGGAGAGCCACCATGAGTTAGCTGAGCTATAAAAAAAGTGGCCATATGGGCTGGCCAATAGGACCGAAGAGCAGCCCTGATGAAACATAGTAAGAAGTTGGGTTACCATTAGGAAGGTAGATTCTAACAGCATAGAGGGTAGATAGTTGCCCAGCTATTGTGCTGCTTAAGGCATATTTAAAAATATAAAGTCCGTGTGTATTTTTCATCTGGGAACATAAATTGTCCAAGGTGGGTAGAAACCCCATGCCAGGATTATTTAATATTTTTAAACTACAGAATGTAATTTCTATTCCATGAAATCATTATCACATAAAAGTGGGCCTGGTAAGCAGCAGATATTCCAGATTTGATTGAAGGATTAAATATAAAGTTGCAAGTTCTTTGTAGGTGGGGCTAAGTATCAAATCTTCTCTCTGTCTCCCCCGCCCCCACACCTTCGTTCATGTTGGATGTAACTGACCCACTGTGTTACTCACATGAATAGCATTTTTTTGTGGTGCTGAGGGTAGAGTCCTGGGCTTCACACCTGTCAGGGAAGTACTCCACCATTGAGCTACACCTGAACCCTTGATGGTCTTCTCTCAATGATGCTTATTGATTTTTATTTCCCTCTTTGGTCAAATTGTATACAGTTCAGGATTTGCTTTGAAGATAGGCCAGTCAAGGGAAAAAGCTAATCTTTTTACACCATCAGCTTCTACATATTTTACTGCTGTGTGTTGAGCTAGGCTAGGATTTTTGGCATGTATCAAAAGCTTGTATCTGAATAGCTTATACACATACAAATGGGAGGATGTTAACATAATTCTGCTTCCTTGATTCAGAACCATGTCAGGACGAAGATTTCGTGAGGCAGTTAAAAAAGTAAGTTAAATATGAAATACCATTCCTGTAAATTTATATTTGAGGAGGAAAAATTTCTTATTAAATTGCTCTTTCCTCAAATCACTAAAGTTTATGTTCCTTGAAGTTAGTGGAGAGAGGTAAATATGAAGTGTCAGTTATTTAAGAATCAGAATTAAACTGTAAGGGAATTATAACCAGGTTAAAGTATTTTATTAGTATTTACATTTAAATATTTAAAAGTTGATAAAGCTTGTATAGTTTAAGTAATGAGTTATATTTAGAGGTTGCTTAAATCCCCTTGAGTGGGCTAAATAAACAATCACATTTGGAGATGTTTTTCCCCTATATTTTCATCAGATTCAACACTTGTAAAAATGATGTCTTGTTATTTAGGTCTTATAAACATTAGTTTAAATTACATAATATAAATTCAATATAGTTTGAGGCAATTACTCTTTCATAGTAAGATTCTACATCCACTGATATGATTATTATGATTTTCATATATCTATTATTTATCCAACTATAATGGGGATTTTGTCTTTTTTCGAAGTACTCTTTGACACTTTCACATTCCTTGGTGGTTTGGGGTCATTGGGAAAATTTTTCTTTTTCTTTTTTTTTTCTTTATCTTTTTTATTTTTTCCCAATCTGTTTTATACCATTTTAATTACATGCGAGTATTAAGGTCAGTTCTAGGTTGAGGAACTAACAATACAACAGATACAAATAGTCAAGGAACAAGCAAGGCTATAAACACAAATAGTCAAAGAACAAACAAGACAATAAACAAAGTCCCATGATCACTCCTGTGATTACTGTTTCTAAGGGCTTATCAGGATGACCAAAATATCTGAGCCTTCTGCTCTGTCTTAGCCTGAAGTCATTTATAGGCCTGAAGCCTACTTCATTGTTCTAGCCTAAGATTTAGATTCCTGCCTGAAATTACTTGTTTGTTCTAGCCTAATGTCAGATTCCTGTCTGAAACCCATTTCCTTGTCCTTGGCCGATGTCAGATTCCTACCAAGCAGCCCCAAAACCTCTCCACATCTACCCCTTTTTTATTTCATAAACAGGACTGAGCCTGTCTTAGGTCTTTCTGACAAGAATGCCTTCCTTACCCATCGTGAAATATGCATTATCAAAAGCAATGCACTTCTGTCTTAGGTTGGTAAGGCTCTGTGCAGAATCTTAACCTGTCCTTGGCTTGCCAACCTGTTAAATTAGTAACTCTGTCTGGGGGTCCATTTTCAGTTTCAAGCCATGTACTTTGGCTGACATTATGTTGATGTTGTTAAAGACAAGCTTTAACATGATGGGCCAGAATGAAAGGATTCTCAGGACAAAAAGGGCTAACATGATCAAGCTATATATGCCAATTTTGAAGCTTGACCAAAATGACATCAGGCCATGAATAATTTTATTAGCAGTATCTGAAGCATCAAAACTCAGCAGAGCAGCATTTTTAAAATTCATAATCTCACTATGCGAAGTTGAAACATCCAGAGAGGTGTTAGAATTATGCCAAATACCCTGTAAGTATCTTTAAACTTTTTCTTAATTATAATGACTATCATTTTTCTTAAGAGGTATATCTTCCATATTCATACCAAATGTGAACGTTAAATGAAACTCAGGTATTTATAGCCTTGAACAGTAAAAATGCTTACTTTTCCCTCCTAGGAATTTGCACTTTATGGGATGAAGGATATGACCGTTGTTACTTCAGGTCTATGCAATGTTTATACACATTACGTTACCACATATGAAGAATACCAGGTAAAGTAAAAAGTTCTCATGACTTTTTTATTACTTGCTGTCTTTGTATCTCTTCAGCCGTGTTTCTGAGAGATGACTTTGTTTTAGATGGGAATTCTAAGAGAATAAGCCAAGGATTATATTTGGTTTGTGGTTCATCACTTCTAAGTACATATCAGCATCATTGATTCACTCACTGACCACCATGTAATGCTGACACTTATTATGTTAGGGGCACTGGTAATAAACCTGTGCTATGACATACAAATAACTACCCATAATACACTTGGTGTCTTAAGCTTCTGTAGGGCCTTCTGTCTGCTATTTATTGAATTCACTATGAATGAACTACTTTGCAAATGTAGCTATGCACAATCCTTGAAATGCATCCTGAAATAGCATATTACTCTCTATGTGATATGACTCAAGAAAACAAAACAAAGCAAAACCCTTTCAGAGTTAGTAATCTGATGTTCACAATTACTTCTTTATGTATAGAGTTCTTAAAGCAGCTCAGCTCCTCTTAAAAAAGAATAATTAAATATGACATGTGAAGCGCGCCCACCTCGCCAGCAAGGAAGACACGCGGACACTCATCAGAATCCTTCCGCAGGAACACGTTTATTCCAAAACAAAATGGTGGAAGAAGACCCCCAGGCCCGGGAAAGCACTGCTTATATACCCTTAGAGCGGTGTATTCACCTCTGATTGGCTGCTTACTCATTGCGCGCCAAAACGCCGTGGGATGGGCTTTAACTTTGGCGGGCTTTTACCATGGCACATGCGCAATTTACTTGTTTACTAGGAAAAATACCGGATGTCAGCGCCATGTAGCAATGGCAGATTTTGCCAGCACCCGCCACGGCTTCCTACAATGACAATAGCCTAAAGTCCCATAATTAAAAATTATAAATAGATCTCCTGGCATATCATGGCAGTCCATGTGGAAGCATTTAGTGACACACGAATTAGAGTCAGCCCTGCTGCCCTCTGTTGGCTTTGCTAAAGGATCCTAACATCTAGAAAATCTTAGTTGTTATTATAACTATCTGAGACATCAATTATACAGAGCAAGGACTAATATTGGCTTACATTTCTAGAGGCCTCCATAGCTTTTGCATGTTGCTTAGGATGCTTGGCAGATATGATAGTTCATGCTATCATATGTAAAACTCTTTGTTTTGTAGCCAAGAAACTTATTGAAAAAAGATAAAGAGACTGGTGTTCAGAATCCCTCCCAGGGCAATCACCCGTGACCTGAAGTCCTTCTTCTAGCTATATTTCTTGTAGGCATCACCAACTCCTTGTAGCACTTTCCATAGAAACAAGATTTTGCCACAAAGAACTTAGGGGGTGCATTCTAGATCCATATGATAGCATTGTTGGGTAAAAGTTCTTACCTGGGATTAGGAACAGTTGAACATTATTCAGTTCTCTCTGCTATTTAGTATTCTCTTCAACAAGCAACAGGAAGAGTATTAGACCCTTTACCTTTTTGCATAGATAGAAATACCTTTTATTCTTTTTCTTTTGGAAAAATTATAGGAGTTACTAGGTCTACCTTCATCAAACTATCTGATAGTGTAAAGAAGAAGCACATATTCTTTTGCAGAATTGGTCACTGTAGGTTGATAAACATATGTAATTTGTTAAGATCAATTTTTAAATGTTTTGCTTTATACACTTAGAACCATTATTTTGACAGGTGTTCTATAGGTCTCAAAGGAAGTCCATGGCACTAGCAAAGCTGGGAATCCCTGCAAACTTGATCCCTTATTTAGGATGAAGTTTACTTTTGACTTATTCATTGATATGTACAATAGACAGTTTGCTAGTCACTTTAGACAGAGTAATGCTAAAAAATCTGCTTCTTTCATGGTGTTTCATCAGAGATAAAGGAGAAATGAGATAAAGATGCAGAAGACTGGGGGCTGAAGAGATGGTTCAGTAGTTAAGAGCACTTTAGGGTGGAAGACCCAGGTTCAATTCCTAGCACTTACATGGATGCTCACAAGTAGGTGTAAATCCCAGTTCTAGGAGATCTAATGTCCTCTTTTGACTTCCTAAGACTCTTGCATGCATGTGATACACACACATGCATGCATGCACACACATACACCTACATAAATAAATAAATACATAAATACATAAATAAATATTAAAACAAAGGACAAAGACTGGCAAGCATTTATCTGAGGTTTTGACATTACTTTAGGGTCAGTCAAGCAAATAAAAAGTTAGGAATGTCTTCTATATAGAGCAAGCATGTGCACAATAGTTCAGAGAATAGACAGAACACATTAATGACTTATAATTAACTTAGGACTTGTGGAATGTAATGGAAATGGTGAGGTGAGGGCTAGGCTAGGGTGGGAGTCAAGGTGAGTGCAGGGAAGAGTCCTTTGTGCAACATAGTGGAGTATTGGCTTCATTGAGAAGGTTTTAGAGAGAGTGCTTTGATTCACTCTATAAAAATATCATTGGGAAGGTGTGGGGAAAAATATAGGGGGCTGCAGCAGTGGAGATGGCCCTGGAGGCTTTCCACGCTGCGGGTCCCACATGCAGGAGGAACGTCTAATGTTCCAGCAGCCTGGAGGCTTTGGTGGTGGCAGGCCCCAATGACACGAGAAAGATTGGTTCCAGAAAGATTTATTGTCATGACAGATGGTGGATGAATCTGGAAGTATTCCCATAAAACTCAGGGCAGTCCCGAGTTATATGGGAGGAAGAAAGGGGGAGGATCTGGGGAAGCATGCTTAATTTGCTCCCCCCTCTGGCCTTCATTAGTATGTAAATCCCTAGGGCCTGAGGCCTCTAGTCATGCCCTCTATCTGTGCACTTTGGGAGGGGCTGTCTGGCCTACGTGACTGAACAATGTATTTCTATGGAGACTAGACTGCTTTTCAGGACCCTGGGTTCTGGGGGGATGCCAAACTCCTGCCAGTTCTCACACAGAGTCTCGGGGTTCTAGGCAACTACCCAGCCATGACCCAGAATACCCTTACACAGTCCCACAGGAAGGTGCTATAGGTGTGTGGTGACAGAGTTTGATTACCACATTAGAGTTAGAATCTGGATAAGAAATGAAGGTTTGTACAGAGTTAGAGCCAGGAGAAAAGGAAAACAGAAAACCTTGAGAATTTTTTAAAGAAGGCGTAATGACACAATCTGAAGACTTATAAAATGTAGGATGAGGTAGAGGAGGGATCTAAGATGATTGTCAACTCATTGCCATGGAGATACTAGAAGGGTGGAATGCACAATATTGCAGGAAAAGCTGGTGTTTCTGGGATGATGAGGACCTTTGTACACTGATAGCTTTGAGGTATCAGTGTAGAGTCACCAGAGGCAGGGATCTCATAATGAGATGCATTTGACGCTATTTCATAGCTGTGTGGTATGGCAGAAGTCCTTCCATTAGTAGAAGGAACTATTAGTAGCTAACCTATCTAGAAATTCTTAAATAATATCCATTTTACCCTCATTTTCTATCCTGATGTTCAGCCCTGGAGGAGATCACTAATTGTACAAGAACTTATAATAGATACAGGCACAAGAAGTGGCAGGTTGTAACATCTTTCAGATGAAAAGAAACAGAGCCTAAGTGGAATAAGCAGAAAGAACCCATCACTTCAATAAGATCAGATTCAGCCATTCACTTTGGCTGCTTAGTGGAAAATGCTCACATTCTGTTTTTACAAAAACTACTGAGTATTTGCTGGTATTGAATAATGTGAATAGCCCCAAAATGCTATACTTCCATAAACTAATTGATATATGCAAAACTATCTGTACTTCTTGCTTTTCCTGCAGGCTCAGCGGTATGAGGCAGCATCTACACTGTATGGACCACACACCCTGTCGGCATACATCCAGCTGTACAGCGCCCTTGCTAAGGCAATTGCTACGGTAATGAAATCATGTGTGTGTGTGTGTGTGTGTGTGTGTGTGTCTGTGTCTATGTCTGTGTCTGTGTGTGTCTCTGTGTGTCGGTGTCTGTGTCTATGTTTGTCTTCTGGGGAAAAGACACAGAATCAAGAAAGAACCTTAGATACACATATTATTTGACTAATTTTATATTACATGCAATTTCCCTTAGGAAAGAAATCTGGAACAATAATATCACTAAGAAAATAATTCAAAGTTTCCTGGTAGTAAAATTCAAGTTCAATCAATTTCCTATAGTAGTGGCAGTCTGTTCCATATATATGAAATGTCACTTGAAGTAAGGAGATACTATTTTTCTCCACATTTTTAGATTATCAAAAATACTTGAAGGTGGCAATTGACCATCTGTACTATAACTGTAGTCAATGTTCACTTGCCAGATTCTTTCCTCCCAGTCAGAGAGTTGAGTAGACCATTCAGATAAAGAATAATTTGTTGCTCATTTTCTTCATTATAATGTCTCTGAAGCTGAGATGCATTTTCCAATCAGAGAGATCTCACTCTTAAAACTAGTAGCATTTTAAAACTCTTGATGATGCAAAATAGTAGAAATTGTTGTAATAAATTGAGACTTAGGTTTGTTGAACTCTAGTATTGCCTTGGCATGCACATATATGTATTTCTGAAATGTATATAACTGATTTATTAACGTTCCCTTGCATTGTAAAGTCCCCTTTAGGACACATTTATATAGTTGCAGTCGTGGTACAAATAGTTGACAATTGGGAAAAAGAGCTTAAAATAATAAGCATATCTGTATATAATACATATAGAATTTATAATAGTAAGTATATTACTTGAAACATGATAGCTTTATAATAGTAAAAGCTGTGAAATTATGACATAATAAGTACAACAAACCCTTTTAAAAAATAGTGCACATATACTGGATTGAAACAGATGATACTTATGTGCTATAGACCAACTCAGACAATTTCATACAATTCCATAACTGCCTATTGTATTTGAAATTTCAGTACAATCTGGAGACTTGAACATACTTTGCTTACTCTTTTTGTAAACCATAGTGCCCTTCTGAATTTTAGACCTAGTCCTTTGTTTATCTTTTGGAAACTTGGTTCTTGGTCTATGTTATGGTCACTTGTTTTAAGACTGACTGTGTGGTCTTGAAAACCAACTGAGTATATCCAATTCCATGTTCTTGCTTGCAGAGTAAGAATGACAGTACATTCCCCGTAACCTGTGCAGCTATAAAAACTAACACTCCAGTGTGAACATTAAAGAACATTAAATATACACCAAGGGCTATTGAAACAAAGAGATTCTTATTTTGATGCCCTCATTAAAGTGGGTGAATCTTGTGGAAAACATTATGTTGGTCAGGATAAGGCTGATCTTAAATTTTTAACAAGGATATATTTATTATATTACTTAGCACAGATTTAAAACTAGAAGAGGACCTTGGTAATGACTTTGGGTAAAAGATTATCCACAGTTTGAACCAAGCATGTTGGTACTTGCCAGTAATATTGACATTCAAGATACTAGGATAGTAGTATCCCAGTTCAGGGCAGCCAGGTCTATGTAGCAAGTTCCTGGTAAGCCCAAGTAGCATTGTTAAGACCCGTGTCAAGACCTCACCTCCACCCTTAACAAACCAATCAAAGTAACATCTTAGAAGCTTGAGATACAGCCCATATTTGCAAGCATATTTTTCAGAATGTGACCCTCATCACCTGAATGGAAAAACTGGGTTGTATCTGCACTGTACTCTTGTAATTCTTGTAAAACTGGGGAGACAGACAGAAGGATCCCAGGGGCTTGCTTATAAACCTCTTATCTGAATCAATGAGGCACATCTTTCACAATAATGAAGATATGTGGTACCTGAATAGAAATGTCACTTAATATTGACTTCTGATACACATATGCACCCAGACATGTATATGTAAACATATGGGAGACTCAATATTGAAAATATAAACATAATTGCAGTATCATGTCATAAAGTTATAACATGTGGTAGGTCGCTACCCTGAACCACACAGAGAAAACAATGGCTGCCAAGAATCTATCTAACTTGAGCAGTCTGCATTTGCATTCTGATCTCTTGATTATACCAGTCAGGCTAACAAAGCAACTCCCTTCAGCTACAACATTCTTCTATCAAAAACTTTAAATTACAAATTATTTTAGGAACGTGCCTCACATTTTTGCTAAATGTTAGCTTTCAGAGGGCTGGTGTGTAGCTGTGTGTGGGCCTCCTTTAATGAGGGCATTTCTTGTGATATGGATGGGGGTGGGGAATGCTACTTCGTCTCCACTGTGTAGTTCTTTAACAAATGCTCCCTGTTTCAGGACACAGTAGCCAATATGAGCAGTGGTCCCGAGCCTCCGTTCTTCAATAATCTGATACCTTCACTTATTCCTAATATTGCGGACAGAACACCAGTAGGCAAGCATTTTGGGGATGTCCTGCAACCAGCAAAACCTGAGTACAGAATGGTAAGACTCACAGGAAAGTCTCTAAGTGCTTCAAGAATTTGCTTCTGGAGGCAAAAGGAAAGACATCATCACCTGCTTCTAGTGGTTCCATATCATTGCTTCAGCAATGGTGATGCTGACAGTACCACAGGCTAGCTTCAGCAATGATGATGCTTACATCTCTTTCCATCTTTGTAGAGGAGACTGGGAAACACTGCTTTCTCTTTTGGTGATTAGCTACATAAAATTGAATTTCCAAAATGCAAATTATTTTTTTTATCAAGTACATAATCAAAGATCCATGCATAGGAGTTGGACCAAGCTGGCTTTTAAATCAAGGAATGGGAAAGCAACAAAAGTGAAGCAGGACCTGCACCGCTACATTTTATGCTGACTTTGTGTTCTGCGTTCTTGCTGAATGATGCATTAATTCCAGCAGGTTTTCTCTTCTCCCCCACCTTAGGGGTTTTTACATTTATTATATAATCAACAAACGAAGTAACTGGACTTACTCATTTCTAGATTTCTCTTTTTTTTTCTAATGAAGCGTGACTAAGCTTCATAGTCATGCGTCATTAATTATTGAATGATCAAGAACATAGTGTCAGTTTCTCACTGCTGTGATAAGACAGCCGAGAGAGCAACGGAAGACACTGAATCAGTTAATTCTCTGACTGCAGTGACAAGATATCTGATAAGAACAGCCTGAGGATGGAAGAGTATGCTTTTGGCTTGTAAATGGAGGATGTAATCCACCGTGGTGGGGGAACCATGGCAGCAGTGTATGAGGCAGCTGGTCACACTGCCTCCCTTGTCAGAAACAGAGAGGCAATTGCTTGTCTATTCACCTATTCCTTCATCTTCAGTCCAGTATTCTGATCATGGGGTAATGCCACCCACACTAGGTAAAGCTGGATCATCTTATGAGACAGAACTATGGCTCCAGCCTTAGTTTCTGAGCAGTCTCAGTACTGATTTATATATTGACTACCTATGTGTACATGTCCAATAGCAGGAGAGACAGGTTTCTCTTCCCCCAATCCTGGCCAGCAGTGGCTGTTGCTGGTTTTGTAGCTAGTCCAACTGGCATGAGTTAAAATCTCAGTGTAGTTTTAAATTGTGTTTCCCTGACAGCTAATGATGTTGAGTATTTTAAGACAATATCTCTAGGACACTTACTCTTCTTTCAGAACACACTATTCCATTCATTAGCTCATTGGTTGACTAGGTGATTTGTTTTTGTTATTTAATTTCTGGAATTCGTCTATAGAGCCTAGAAATGAATACAGAGTCAGGTCTTGTGATGACTAATGTTAATTGTCAAACTTGAAAGAATTTAGAGTCACCTGGGTGATGGGCCTCTGTGAATCCCTGTGGAAAATCATCTTGATCATGTTAATTGATGCTATAAAACCCAGCTTTTCTGTCTCTGATTTTGACTATTTATTTATTTGTTTGTTTGTTTATAGGAACTAAAAATATATTTTAGGAGAGGCTACTGTGGTATAATTCCCAGTAAAACTTACCATTGAGACATATAGTTTTACAAGCTTTTCTAATGAATTAAATTCCTCATTTGGTAATTTAATATGTGTATAGAATGCGTTCTGATGACTCGCTCTCCACTGTCTCTTATCTCCTTCCTACTCATGGCCATGGTCCCCCTCCCTACAGGCCCTTTCCCATGCTTGTGTGGTTGTTGTTGTTGTTATTGTTTGATGTCCCACTGAGTTTAATCAGTACCATCTGTGTGACCATGGATATAGAGTTAGACAACGGATCCTGGTGGACACGCCAGTGGGTAGACATCTGAAGATAACATCTGATCTTCACCTAGAATCCATAAATAGCCACTGATGTAGAAGGAATGGGTAGGGCCCCATGAGATCCTGCCCATTTCTTGATTGACTTTTGGCAAGCCCAGTCTTGTGCAGGTCCAGTGCAGCTCGCAAGTCCACAATTGTAGTGGCTATGCCATGCCCTGAAAATAGCATTCCAAAGTCTCCTCTCTGTCTTCTGGCTCTTACATTCTTTCTGCCACTTCTTCTGCAATATTCCATGAACCTTCCAGGGAATTGTATAAATGTCCTCTTTAGGACTGAAAACTCAGCTTTTTTTTTTTTTTTTTTTGTCTCAGCACCTTGAGTAGCCAAGACTCTACCACGAACTGCTATTCATTGTGTAGAGAGGCTTCTCTGATTAAAGCCATGAGAAGCATTTGTCTATGCTTACTTACATCAGTGTTCTTGAAAGCAGCTTGATGCACTGTCAGTCTCATTTGCAGGCAGGAACATTTTTTGGGAAAGGGGATCCAGGCCTGTATAAAATGGAGAAAGAGAGGGGTTGAAGCGAAGGCACAGCAGTTAGGAGTGTGCACTTCTCTTTGAGGAAACATGAGTTTGGTTCTCAGCACCCACAACTAATGGGTCACAGCCACTTATAACTCCAGTTCCATAGGAATTGGAGGCATCTGGCCTCTGCAGGCACCCACTCTCATGCAGATATTACAAACGGGGACACACACACACACACACACACACACACACACGTAATTAAAAATGAAACAAATCTTTAAGGAAACTCAGAGAGTGAGCTCACTGCTGCCTCGACTTGCACCTTTGAACTGTGAACCAGAGCAGGCTCTTTCTCCCTTAGGCTGTTTCTGTCACATTTTTATCATAGGAATAGGAAAAGAAACCAATATAGGTATACAGTTGGCAAAGATGTTGCATCCTGTAAATGCCCCTTCACTCTGTGGATGGTTTCCTTTGCTGTACAGAAGAAACATTCTAATTTCCTGCAAATTCCATTTGTTAGTTTAGGGATTATTTCCTGTGCTGTTGGAGGTCATTTTTGAGGCTGCTTTTTCTCCAGTTAATGACTGAATGACTGTAGCTGTGTGGGTTCACTTCTGATTTCTCTGTGCTCTATGTGGCTATTTGAAGACAGGGCTCTCTAATATGTTTTGAAGCCATTTTCATGTGTTATCACATTGAAAAGTATAGCTCTGGATCTTAATTTATCAGAATCTTCCAAAGTCAAATTCTTTGGATCTAATTCCTAACAAACTTAGAGGGAATCCCTTAATGAAATACTGTGGAATGTGTACAGCCTCTAGGGTGTTCGTACGTAGAGCAGACAATGCTTCCAATCTCAATAAATAGGCTTGTTTTAGATTTAATTCAATGCCATTTTTATTTCCAGGGAGAAGTGGTTGAAGTTATATTTGTAGGTGCTAACCCAAAGAATTCAGCAGAAAACCAGGTGAGCATCACTGTCTTCCAAATTTATACCAAGTTTTCCTTCACTTTACAGGAGAATCTCGCATACCCCAAAATGTATCAGGGCTTTTCCTACTGTGTTTGTGAAGGTGGGAAAATGTTCAGTGGGTACAGCTAATGTGGAATTGGATGTGGAACACAGAACTCATGAAGATTTAATCAACTTCTTATAGTCCCATGTGTAGAACAGCTCCTCATGACCACACTGCTTCCCCAGGATATGGATTCAGAGACATTCTTATTTACATATTTAAATTGAGAACTTACTAAGTTTGTTAACTTATTGAAAGGACTAAATAACCTATGATTTCTCTGCCTTTTGGAAACCTTTCTGACCCCTCCAGCATTGCTACTCTGGACACAACTCCTCTGTTTCGGGGTGATCACAGACTGGTACCTGCCCTGAGGTTTTGTCCCATGTGCTGTTTGTTATTTTACATTGTCCATTTTCCTGTTCTTTACTGTTGGCACAATAAAATGTTTATTTATTAATCTTGAAAAATATGGCAAATGTAAAAACAAACAACATATTTATAAAATAGAACATTTAAGTGCCTCTCTTCCCACAAATCTATTTTTAAGAGTTATTACTGTTAATAATTTATTAAAAACATGTCTTTTTTTGCTGTTATGATATATATGATAAAGCACACACACATAGTGTCTAGAAATGAGATAACTTTAATCTTCTGTAATTTCCGCAGAATTTTCTTATGTTTAAACAAGTAATAAATAATAGGACAGGTTCTGTCTATGAAAATCTGAGCAAACAGTACAGTGGTACAGATTTGTAATCCCAAAACTTGGGAAGCAGAGGTGAGGTATCAGTAGTTGGATGCCAGCCATTGCTGTAGATCAGCTTTGACTTAAAAACTAAGGAAATTAGATGGTGAAGTGACTCAGTTTGTAAAGATGCTTGTTACCAATCCTGAGGAAGCTGAGTTCAGTCCCAGAAATCCACATAGAGGAAAGAGACAATCGACTTTCACAAGCTGTCCTCTGACCTTGACATGAGTTCTGTGGCATGCATACACCTCTCACATCACATGCTTAATAACATAAAGTAAACATATATCTTAAAGGACTAAACAAAATAAAAGAAGATAACTACTCACTACCACAAACTCCCTACAAAATTTGAAGAAAAATCGTAGAGGAAAGTGGGCATATGGAAGTGGTTTTTAACTCACTTCCCTTCTCTGACTGAGTGTGAAGTCATTATATTGTGAGCCATTCTTCTTAGGGTCTGTAATCACTTATAATCCAAAGCACTTCCTTCCCAAATGAGCTGTGTCATTTCTGTCTATTCAAACGTCATTACTTCCATGGTAGACTTGTGGCAATATAGTTTCATTGCATAGAAGGTTTGGGAGAAATGTTCTAATGTTTGGACAGTTGATGTACACCTGTGTCCAAGCCCCGCCAGAACATCTGCATGCTTGTAACACTGCTTTCTGAAGAGATTGGAATGCTGTATCAAGCCTAACAACCACAGGATTCTTTCATCGATGTTGTTGGAAGAACACGATGATAACAGCATCATAATGAGAATAGATTTCATTTCTTCAAATACTCTGAAATGGTGCAAAACAATCTAGTGCCCTTTGATCGTCTACGAACATCAATTATCCTTGTCTGATTGCTGAGCAACTGTTGTCTACAAGCATTAGGCTAGATGCTTTGCTTATAGTGTTACATGCATCTAATTGAATCCTCACTGCTGTCCAGTAGCTTATCTCACTGTCCTTACTTTGTTCATAAGTAAACTCAGTGGCAGAACATTCAATTTGTAGCAAACTGGACCTGTAAGAGATTATGATAGGGAGGTAGGGAAAAGGTAATCACAAGCTTTGTCCCTGATGGTTTGGAGGCCTAGGTATGTTTTCCAGACTGTATTCTAGACCTAGTGACTGCTACTCCATCTAGCCCTCTCCCCCAGTGCCATTATACCCTGATGTGCAGAAGCAGATCTCTTGATTAGCCATCATGATTATGAGCCCTTTTTATTAAAATACCATGTATCAATTGAATAATTGGAGAATTATTTTAAACAATGTCATGATCAAAATATAAAAACGTGATCCATTTATCAAAGCTATTTGAAGACTTGTAAATGGCAGATATAAAGGGTTGTGAAGAGTAACTTGGATACAACTTCTATTTGTGTGTGTGTGTTCATGTAGATGTGTGCACACATGTGTGCTCTGGGTGCACGCACATGGAGGCCAAAGACTAACATTGGCTCTCTCCCTCATTTGCTCTTTACTTTATTTACTTATTTTTGAGACAGAGACTCTCACTGAACTTGGAGCCTTAAGGTGGCTAGCCAGTGAGTTCAGGGGTCCACCTGTCTCTACTCTCCCAGCCCTGGGAGTATAGGCACCTCCGCCATGTGCGTATGGGTTCTGGGCACCTGACCTCTGCTCCTTGTGGTCCCATAGCATTGTCCCATTTTCACTGCCCCTCAAGGCCTATCTTTAAGGGAGGCAGTATAAACATATTGAGAGCATTTGATACTTATGATGATTTCTATTTATTAGCTTGTCATATTATTCAAATTTTTGCTTTATTTGAAACTGGACTCTTGGTCTGAAACAAATTGTTTATTAGTTATCTTTCAGTATAGAAATGCACTCTGCTTATGTTATAGTTTCTAGGCATCTATTATTGGTAGATGTCTTTAGAACCCTAGGACAGGGGCAATTTGTGCATTTTTTCCAACTGTTTGACTTAGGAAGGCATGGTAACTAATAATTCAGTTACCTGAAGGCAGAGAGAGTTGAAGTCCCATTTCCTCACTGATTAGAAAAAAAAATCTTTAAGGGGATTACAACCTCATAGGAAGAAAAACAATATCAACCAACCAGACCCCCCAGAGCTCCCACCAACCAGAGTATACATGGAGGGAGCTATGGCTCCAGATACATATGTAGCAGAAGATGGCCTTATCTGACATCATTGGGAGGGGAGGCCTTTGGTCTTGTGGAGGCTGGATGCCCCAGCATAGGGGAATGCTAGAACAGTGAGGCAGGAGTGGGTGAGCGGGTAGAAGAACATCCTCATAGAGGCAAAAGGGAGAAGGGAGAGGGGGGATGGGATGGGGGGGTTTCTGGAGGGGTGAGTAGGAAGGGGGTATCATTTGAAATGTAAACAAATAAAATAATTAATAAATAAAAATAAATAAAATTAGAGTTTGTGAAAAAAGAAAAAAATCACTCTTGATCTTAAGTCTTTTTAAAATCTGTCATGTTAAATTTCTTCTTAGCTCTAATTTGCTATAAGCACCATAATTATGCTTTTTAAAAATTCCTAAACTTCCATTTTATTTTGGAGGGTGTAAACTATGATTCCGAAGACATTGCATGAAGTGGTTACCTAGCTATCTAGGTAAAAAAAAATCCTTGTGTGTGCGCACAGCAGCAGGCATGAGTGGGTTGCTATGTAGCGAGGAGAAGCAACGCAGACAGGATCTCTCTCTAACTGCTCGGGCTTGATAAGTGGTGTTAATCGTCTTTCAGACCCATCAGACCTTCCTCACTGTGGAGAAGTATGAAGACTCTGTAGCTGACTGGCAGATATTGTATAATGATGCCTCCTGGGAGACTAGGTAAACATGTCTATTGATCATTTGTCTCAGAAGCTTTGAAAACAGTTGCTTCACAATGTAGGAAGGGCGAACGGAAAGACTTCTCAATACATAATACTAATCATACCGAATTCCCAAGGCTCCTTCTGGCCACATTTGACTGATTAATTAGGCTCCATTTTGATTGTCTTGATTGGAAGCAGCATAGTACAGGTTTCTTTAGCATTAGGTACTAATGAGGCATTAGCTGCCATCCTTTGGCTTTATTTTAGTGGTGTTGTGGGTAGACTCTAGATTCTGGTACATAGTAAGAAGATACTGTATCTCTGAGCAATGGCCCCATCCATCTTCCATGAACTTTGTCTTGACATGGTTACAGGGATGCCTGGAAAGACTAGCCAGCCTTTTTATAAACTGGTTGAGAGGTGTATTGGGCAAAGGAGTTGTATGGACAGGTTGAAGTCATCAAGTAGGATAGAGGCCTGGGCTTGCATGCAGGATGACAAATCACACATTCTAAAGAGCCACGTTTTTATTGTTTGTTTTCTATTAACAGGTTTTATTGGGACAAGGGAATTCTGGGTCTAAGCAATGCAACAATACATTGGCATATCCCAGATTCTGCCCTCCCTGGAATCTACAGAATAAGATATCTTGGACACAACCGGAAACAGGAACTTCTGAAGCCTGCTGTTATACTAGAATTTGAAGGAATTTCTTCTCCTTTTGAAGTCGTCACTACTTAGTGAAAAGTTGACAGATATTGAAGGACAGCTTTTCTCTGTGCACATTTTAGAGTGATGTCACACAAATGTGAACTACCAGTGTAATTTTTGTAATTGTCTCTGTTTGGGGGACAGATCGTTTATAGCTAATGGGACAGAGGTATGTGTTTGTGTTGTTGTATGATTATGTGCATGCATGCTAACAGAGAGAGAGAGAGAGAGTGAGTTATTAGTGAGTAAGAGGATATGAGAGAAGGGCGGCCACTGGCATCCATATACTTTGTGATCTTTATCCTAAAGCATGATTTTCCTTGAAGCTCTGTGATTGTTTAAGAGATAATTCCCTCTAATATGAAGTCCCTGAAATATAGTGACAGTATGTGAAGATATGTGAATGATGTTTATCCTATTTATTTATAGACTTATTAAACGAGAACTTTCCAGAAGTCCTCTAGAATGATACTTGATTTTACAGAGAGGAAAATGGAGATTCAATTCTCTTTAGATTAGAGTAAGGTTATTATATATTTTCCCTAGTTACATTTACAAAATACCATGTAACCTTACTACTACAAATATTTGAGCCCAGCTAAAATATTACCAGAAAATTAGCATGTCAGGTTTTTGTTTTGTTTTGCTTTTACATTCAAACAAGCATAGTCCTTCAGGTCAGTCACTTTAGAATGGATCTGCCTGCCTCAGGGTTATTGTTCATGCTCAGATCATTTCTGGAATTGCCTCCAGAGTCCAACTATGCGAATGTCACTTGCAGTGATTTGATTTATGCCTTGTATTCCTCAAAGTGTCCTTATCTTGCTAAGTCACGCCTCTTCCTCCCAACATTTACTCTGAAGGATTTTTCAATGTTTTCACCAATCAAATGTACCTCACACTACAAAGCTTTGCCTTGAATGTAGATTTGAAAACAAGTGTTAAGGCTGGAAATGTAGTCATCAAAGGGCAAGTTTTAAATGTATCTCACTGTTCTTTTGTCAGCTCGTCACTCTTTCATGGTTCTCTTGAATCACTGATCATTATTTAAACCCACATATCCAATGTTGTACTCACTCCTGGGTCTCCACAATTACACACATTATATTGAGATGATTGGGTAGACAATTTCTTTGAAGGGTAAAATGTTCAACTAGAAATATAAATTCTGGAGAGATATTTGAAGTCACAAATGTTCATTCATCTCTGTTTCGTGTTTCCCAGGCTGGGTCTTCTGATTTGGGATGAAAGAGGCCTCAAACAATTTCTAAGTATTAATCTGAAAGTAATGTTTTAGAAATGACAGTCTAGACAGTCTAATGAATGAGATGAGACAATGTAACATGAATTGTCTGAAAGTACTAGCTGCATTTAAAATTACTTAAGTTAACTGGTAAAGCCAATTTTTGATCCCCAATCATATTTTTGTAGGGAGGGAAAAAGAGTAAGCATTTTAGGGGAAAACTAATCTTTATTTCAAAACTATATTTATTTTAAAAATAATAGTGGTAAGGTAAACCTTCATTTATTTTCCTATGGTTTACCTACTCAAACATTGTAGATTGAATCAAAAGGCACCTGGAGCATGTTTTGGTGACTCTGTTTCCTACTTGGTAATTCTATGGATGTTAACTGCTGAAGAATAAACTGATCAGGATTTTCAAGAGTTGTGAACATGTCTTCTGATGGAAACACTCTATTAAGTATAAAGGTTCAAAATAGTTGATTTCAAATATATATATGTATATATGTATGTATATATATTCATACACATACATGTGCACACACACGGCATTGTTTAAAATTTATTTCTCATGACCCTGAACAATACAAGGATTATACAAAGATTCATTTCCCACCACCATTCTCCCCAGTGAAGCTTTTCTCAAAGTCTGAGTAGGAGTTTCTCCTTTCTCACTGGTAACTATGCCACAGTGGCCATTATATCACTAGTAATCTGTGTGCCCAGCTCTGCATGGAAATAAATCACAGAAACATAATTTCCCAGTAGACTTAGTCTCTTCCAGCCTGCATGCTTCTAGTGTATGCAATCTGTAAAAAAAAAACCAGGTCCCTGCAATATTCAACCATAGCAACTTACCTGTGCACAAAGGAACCTCACTAGATAACCAATCTGATCAGCCCATCTAAAGTCACAGATCTTGTTTATGTCTCAGTCTGGAATAGTTTCATGGAGCCAAAATACATGGAGGAATCTCTGGAAAAGGCACTGAGTGTGGAAAGTGGTTGGTTGGGTTGGTGAGAGCACTGTTTCTGAGAAGGGTTTGTCTGTGCTTTACTGTGCTGTGCCTCATCTGCTCTGATTTCAAGGATTCTGTGATTCTGTCAGAAAGCCTAGAGTAATTCCCTTTCCAGGTCTGTGTTTTGTTTTGCTATTTTTTTGATAAATATTCTGTAAAAACTGTCAGCATTCAAGATTGTATTTAATAATTAAGACTTATACTTGGACAAAAATAGTTGATGAAAGCAAATTGTAATGAGAGGTAATGCAGACTCTCTGAAGAAGAGATGGAAGAAGGCCATGGTTCTATGTTATTTGAGGTGGGGGAGGGTAGTAGAAATAACCTTTGCAGATAGACAGCCACTTAATCTAAATGCAGCCACTCTTAATTCCCTTCCAACCTGACAGTCAGATGTTGGTAAAGCGTGTTTCGCAGGCACTTCATGGGCTTCTTGGGCAGCTGAGACGTTCTCTTGGCAGGCAGCTAGTTATAAAGTTATGAGCTGATTCTGAATAGCAAGACCAAGAATAAATTTACTGATGGACAACCTTTTCCAATTTGCCATCTCATGTTTCTCTTCCAGCATAAGTGAGCCCATTCCCTTTCCCTGGTATTAAAATGTGGATTTTATTCTTAAATAAAAATTACCATCATTAGATGATTGCTTTGTAACTTTAGTGTTTCAAAATGATACCCATTGTTCCTAAGCATTCACTCTTGCTTGCTGATTTAAACTGGCTTTTGGGATCTCTAACTGATAAAATCCCAGAGAAGGAAACATATTTCACTATACAAAGAGTTAATATAACATGTAGTGGTAAGCAGCAAGATATTCCTGATCAACAGTAGTTCAGACTGTAAGCAATCTCACATAGCAGTAACTCTTGAGGTACCCATTTCATATATGTTCTAGCTACCCACTGACATCACTGACACTTTTCTTAGCATATTGATATTAATTCTCTGGCTTATCCTCTCAGTCAAAAGATTTCTCTGTACAATTGCAGGCCAAAGTAAAGGAAGGGAGGAAGCTTATGTTTAGGATCTTTTTTTTTTTTTTTGGAAGGTAGAAACTAGTAAGAACATGAGAAGAATACCCCTTATATTTCTGTTCTCTAGAACTGTGCCATGTGGTCATTCATAGCTGCAAAGGAGCCCTGGAAAGAGAATACTTGTTATTTTCCACTTTGAGAAGAAAAGGCAAATCCTGATAGCAAGGATAAAGAGATGGAGGGTGCAACTTTTTAAAAGTATATCAACAAAGTATTCTGCATCTTTAGAGATTTACTTCTTGATCCATGATATATGCATGACACATCGGCACAGCTTATTTAAAAAAAAATGATACTTCCATCATTGAATGAAGGGAACCTGTGACATGGAGAGGAGGGCATGGAAGATCATTCATCAGCTCTTGACAAAATATCACATCATTTTCACATCTCATTTATAGACATATGTAAAGCTTACCATATCTACACTCCCAACCTATTTTCTCTTTGCAATAACAAAAGTGAGTTTTACCCTAGGAGATATATCTTAGAAAAGCCATCAGAACTATGGTCCTCTATAGGAGTTGACATTTCCACTGGAAAGTGTATTTCTTGAGTAAGTTTGTGTTGAGCACCTGTGTACTTGTGGCTGATTAAATCTCTAGGATAAAACATGATGAGGCCACATAGCTGTTTTTTTTGTTTGTTTGTTTTATTTTTTAAATCAATGAAATTGGAGTTCAAAGGATAAAGCAGATAGGTCAATAGATACTTAATGTACATCATGTTCCCCACTGCTATAGTATTCCTGGTAGTAAAGATGACAACTCAGTACAGTTTGGGAAGATATCCTAGTAGGTTTCTTGGGAAATAACCTCTTAGTTAAGACCTAAAGTAGATGAAGAAATTAGCCAAAGGAAAAGGAATATTGAGTTTGTGATAGTGCACAGACCAGGTATTGTATAGGACGATTCGCTTTCATTGAGAACTGAATCATGACAGGCCTAGATGTTACTATGCTTTCCCAAATCTTTACTCAGGGTTGTGCATTGATACTCAATGACAGTCTGAATTTCAGTGAGGAGAGAGGAGAGTCTGTTGGTATAGTTACCAAGGAGTGATGGAGTGTAGACTAAGAATCAGTGCACTGTGTCAGGCATATAGACATTATATATAGGTACCAGGTAGGGGAAATAGCAAGTATTTTATCAAGGCTATAATTACAGTATAAGAGGACATTGGCCAGGGCTATAACACTGAATTTGTCTTCATGAGTAACAAATGGTTTCTATTTGCATTTTCTCCTTGAAACTGTTCTGTTATAATGTAAATGTCCTTGAATGTATTTGCCCTATGCTCCAATAATAAAGCACATCTTTTATAATCGACAACACTTACTTTAGTTTCCCATGGCATTGGTGACACCTCACCCTTCTTTCTTTATGGGTTATGGCTTTGTCTCTCTGTTTGAACTGAATTTATTAAGACTTTCCCATTTTTCTCATATACTTCATGTTTCCAGACCAATGATGCCTCCCTCTCCCTCTCCCTCTCCCTCTCCCTCTCCCTCTCCCTCTCCCTCTCCCTCTCCCTCTCCCTCTCCCTCCCCTT